TTAGTTTAGCGTGCAAAGTATATTAATCGATGCAATAATGTGAAGACTTATGTTAGTGGTGATTCTTTACAGATAAGTTACAAATTGCTAAACAACTTACACAATCCTCTCATCATATTCAGAGAGATTTATACATCACTGTGAAACACACTCTATACAAAAGCTCAAAGTTTATACTTGTTACGTCAGGGAGCACAAATTGGTCTTGGACATCTGCATCTGCATTGTTTGTCTATGGGCTTTTGCTGACGCAGACATGCATAAAACACTCAAATGTGTGTATACGTGCGTGTGTGTCAGTGAATGTGTCCAGAGCAGTGATGTCAAAGCAGGGATTAGATTGGCTTATATTGCCCGGAGCAGCACATTTGCAATTCAGTGAACATGACACGCGGGTTGCCAAATCGCTGATTATGTTAGTTTAACTATTTTGCATCTATGGGAGTAACCAGTTCAGGTTTACATCCAGTGCAAGTAGATATAAATCCTCTTTTTTTGGAGCATGATGCCTTTAAAAGCATCAGTACCAAAGAACCTTACATGGCTCTGGCTAAAAACACAGATCCTGAGTAATGATGTTCCAAAAATACATCATGTTTTTGGCCAGCGGCTGGAAAAGGAGCAGCAATCAGGCTAGAAAGTCAACAGGCGAGCGTGTACGGCCTGCGCAAACTACCGCTCTGCTACCACAGCAGACACATCACACACAGGCTGTGGACCAGACCTCTTGCAGTACACACACAACTGGCTGTTAGTGGTTTGAGAAGGGAAGCCGTCATCTCACCCAACACGGTCCCACATGAATCAGACGCAGCGTGCAGACAAAGCAGGCAGACCTCAGCGTCATAAAGAAGCTTTGCTTTGCCAGCAAGAAAGAAAACACTTCTAACATCTCACAGTGCATTTGACAGCGTGTGATGGTGCTGTACAACAACATATTCAACATTAATCAGTGTTATTATGTGAATTAAGCCATTTTCTTGTGTGTTAGCTTGCTTATATTTGAAAAAGAGACATAAAATCTTTCCAGGATGCCATGAAACTGGTGCATTTAAGAGAGAAAAGAGAGCAAAAAGGAGCCATAAAGAGTTCTTGTTAAAAAGAAGCAGAGTCAAGGCTTCTTACAGTCGAGCCAGTTAGTCTAAAACTTTCCATCAAAGCCTCGCTGAGCTGCATGGAGTAATTACCTCTCACACAGCAACAGCTCCCAGGCCTTATTAATGATACTGTTTGTGTGTGCGTGCATGTGTGTGTGTAAAGGTGCATGTAGCGCACATGCACACACACACACACACACACAAAGTAGATGAATATGCCTCCATGTCTTGGTCAGGCAGAGTGTGTGTTTCCGTGTGTGTGTGCCTATAAAGTAACAGCACCCCAGAGTGTCCTGCTTTTCAGACATAAACCAGCTTGCCGGAGTGATAAACCGAGAAATGTTGTTATGACGGGTCGCTCCTGGTCTCTGCTGTCCTGATGACGGCAGAGAGAAGCCCACCCAATGTGCTCTTCCAGAGTGCCTGGGTAAAAATAGGCAGATTCAAAAGACTGAGACAAAACCAAACCGGAAAGCACCCAAAGCAAGAAAACCTCCACTGGCGCTGAACAACCCTCCAGCCGGCTGTTACACATGAAGGCATCGTTGTGTTTCATTTAAATTTAGGGTAAAATGATTTCCTGACCCTGCAGACACATTTTTTACAATTGCAAAAATTTGACTGATAGTAATCTGCGTATTGTAAGAAGTACTCGACACTACAACATAAAAAAATACTGCTTTACAAGTAAAAGTCCTGCATTCAAAAATACTTTGAATAATTAGCTAAATATACTTAAAGTATAAAAAGTGAAAGTAATTATTCCACAGAAAAAATTACCTTTGCGAGTGACATATGATAAAATATGGCATATTAGATCATTAACACTGAGGCAACAATGTAAGCAGCGTTTTATTATTGTAACCTGAGGGAGCAGACCCCCAGGGGTCACAACACAAATGTGTGGGGTTGTGACATGATGATGATGATGATGATGATGATGAGTGTTGTTGCAACAACAACTCTAACCCCCATCCTAGTTTAGCATCTTAGCTTGCTAATTAGTGCTACACCAATTACAACTGAGGCTGAAACCTTTCCCTCCTCTTCTCCCTAAGTATAAAGAACATTACGGAAATGCTGAAAGTAGGTACAGGAAAAGCCAAACTAAATAACTGAAAGTGGTTAAATCACTATTTTTTAGCCTATGATTGATGTTTTGTTGCTCGGGGGGACTGAATCACATGTCTGCTCAGGTCAAATAACTCATGATGTCTGTTACATATATGGAATTTGTTTCCTGTAACTCCTTACCAGAGACTGTATATACAGTCTAAGCTCCTGACCAGGATTAAACCTGCCTTCTCATACTTTATTCAGCCACGTTGTTGATCTTTGATGTGACCAGCCATGTTGTATTCACATTTACAGAATTTTATTTATGAATCACACTGCTTTTAAATATCTGCTAAGCGTAAAATAATTCCCTAAGTCTGGGTTTTGGGTCTGGTCTAAATGCTGTTTCAGGGGCTTTTTCCTGGAAAACAGTGTTTCGCCATGTTTTGGTATAAAAATGGGTTAGTGTAATCATTTGGGAAAACATCAGCTCTTGGATCAGTATTGGTAACATCCTTCAAAATGAACCACAACTCGCTGTAGTAAAAATGTCTAGAAGCCTGAATAATATTCCCAAATTAATCCTACAATGTTAGAGGCTTTTAACTTATGTGAACAGGAGCTGAATGAAGTCTTTTGCGGGTATGACGGCCAGAAAAAAACGACAAACTGATTGATTAAATAAAGCAGCTGCAACCAGCGTCGTAACTAATGTCATCTAACTTTCCAGCATGAGGCTTCAACGGCCTCTTCCAGCGTAACTCATAACCAAACGGAGAGTTTATAAATCTCTCACTCACTGCAGACTTAAAATATCTAAATAACGTACACCCTGATGTTTCCACATCTCACCACATCATGAGATGGTTGTATTTTTCCAGGGAAGGCTTGAAATGGAGGGCCCGGGCAGCCAGTAAAACTTATTTGGGCATGCAGTCCCTGAGCCCTGCCAGCAGCATATAGCGAGAGACATAAAACCCCAAAAACCTGAAGTAGACAAACTGTGTTAAGTGTTCATAAAATATCTCTGGCGAGGGAACTTTAGATGGAGAGATTAAGGAGGAGAGGGGAGCTCCTTTCAGAATGGAGTGCTGCTCTGCTTCTAATGTTATTCCTGTGGTTTACTGCAGTCTCACAAATATCCCTAAATGATGTGAGCTTAGATAGTTTGTCATCTTACCCCCCGAAACACCCTACACAGAAAGGTCAGAGGTCAGGCTCATCATACCTGCAGCTGCCAGGGATTCATTCTGAGTTGTATGTTTGCACAGGGACACTTGAGGAGGTTGATCAGGGGTACAGGTTTACTGTTTCAGGGTCATCTGAGTGTCCAGCTGCCAAAATCCAGATGAGAGAAGCTTGAATGAGACACATTATTCACCAATTATCAGGTCCTTATCAAGAAAACCTTTACGTTTTAAGTGAATGCAACAAACTACATGGCATTTCTAATATTGTGTTATGAAAAGCACAATTCATCATGATGTTTTTGGCTTGATTGATATAAATGTATGTAAATCAGGTAAAACCTCAAAGTCAGCATTAGTTTGATTGACCAAGCCATACATAAAATACTGTTTTCTTCTTCACTGGGTAGTAGTACTTTAGTAGAAATACATCCATCAAAGTCTCTGATGCTGTTTAATATGAGTTCTCAGTGGAATTGGCATTATGTGCCACAATGGCCTCAATAATTGGAAAGTGTCAATGGAATGTACACTATTTTAGGTTAAAAATCCCACAATGCATTGCTTAACCTTTGCTCTGGTAATGAAAGCTGTGCAAATTACAGTTTTGTGGCACTCCAGCTGTCAGTGGCGAAGCAGAAAGATGATGATTCATAAGCATCTGAACGCTCAGCTTACTACTCGCTACGGAGGAGGCCACTGGGTGTTAATCACAGCGGGGATAAAAGAGATATAGAGGTAACGTGTCACGATCAGACTGAAAAGTGACATATTATTACAATCGCACAGTGAGAAACACTTTTAAGAGAAAGAGAAGAGAAATTTTGCACATGGAAGGACTTTCACTTCCTGTGCTGCTTCTCAAATAAAACTGAACAAAAATAGGAACTACGTAGAAAAACACATTATCTGCAAGATGATACTGATAATGGTGATGAGGGAACTGAGTGGGAGGACTTTCTGCTGTACGATGACATCTCGAGGGCAGAGGCCAGCAACAGGGGCAAATTATTAATTAAAGAAGAAGATAATAATAATAATAATAATAAAATAATAATAAAAAGGAAATCAATAAATAAATAGACAAACTGCACACTTTGCTAAATATTTAATAGTTACTTCAAAGTAGTCGTTATTATTTTAGCAACTTATCAAGATTGATTAACTGATATTTTTAGTAATTAGTAACATTTTATTTTTTTTAAATTAACTCTATTTGGACTAATACTATAATTCAACACATGTATTTCTCTCCTTGTGAAAGCTAATAAACAATAACTCTTCTCACATTCATCTGTCAGAGGCTCGCAAAGCATAAAAACAGAGAGATAATAAAAGATAAATAAAGATAATGATGGTAATAATAACATTTTTAACCACCCATAGGAACAACCTAGCAGCTACAAGTTAGCATTATTATGCTACCGTGCTACACGAGTTACCTACAAAACACAAAAACAGATAAGTTTAGTGTTAATTAAACTCTTTATGGGGATATATAACACAGTAATGGGTCGAAGTACCTTCATAAATCAGCTCCAGCTCCTCAAACTCGCCGCTTTTTTGAGCATTAACGCGGTCACATGTTCACTTTGTGCAACGCCGCCATCTTGTGGACTCGGAGGTAAACAACCGGTGACGATGTGTCCCCACGTCATCATCAAGCGGCTGTCCCTCGAGTCGCTGCGACCTGCAACGTGAGGAAAACATGGGGAGGCAGTTAGTTTGACGTCTAAGTGTTGTTTATCTAATTTCACCTAACACTTAAATGAGCCATTTGTGAGCGAAGGTGTGACTTATAACCACACTAGGCCTCCGTAAGTGAGCTAGCTTTACTCGCTCGGTTACTTGTCGGTGGTTTTACTAGCCTTTAGCCGGCTAACAGCATGGATAACACGGGGGAAAATGCGATTGAGCTCCACGGTGATGAGGAAATTATTGAAGTCATCGACCTGAACGAGACTGAGCCTGGTCCTGGTGGGTAGAAAACTGTTTACAAGTCACTTATTGCGCCTTTAATCACACCTGTGGCAACCAATACCTGATTTGGAGCTGGGGTTAGACTGAAGAGGTGAACAGCAAATGACATTTAGTGACTGTGTTTCTCTCTCTCCCTGTCAGATGATTTGGCTGATGACTTGGAGGACGTTGACTTTGAAGAAGACCCTGGAGTCGCAGACGATGAAGGCTGGGAGACGGAGGACGAGATGGAAGCTGAGGCAGAGCAAGATGACAGCGAGTTCACCTTCTCCAAACACACTGGTAGCATCACACCGCGGGCTTTCTGCTCTTATGATGAGGCAGATTTAGTCGGTCACACGTTAAAATTGCTCCTCCTTTCCTCCCCCCAGGCTCAGTGTTTTGCGTGAGTTTGGATCCTGCCACGAACAGCATGGCAGTAACGGGAGGAGAGGATGATAAGGCCTACGTTTGGAGGGTGAGCGACGGAGAAGTTCTGATGGAGTGCACAGGTGAGGGTGAAGTGCAGATTGAGGGCCGTGCTCACATCAAGAATCCTTCACACCTATAGTCAGTTCATCAGGAAAACAGACACACTGAAAACAATACTGTGTTTACATCCCAGCTGGTGAAATCTGAAAATGCAGTTCATGTGTATAAATGACGTTTGTCCACAGATAGCTGTTTTTTTTATATATATATATATATCCCCGTCGACAATGAAAACCTAAAACAATTTGAAAATGTATAAACCCCCTCATATTTTTCCTGACATGACTGAGAAGACTTGCGTCATCATTTTCCAAAAGCAAATTCTTTCTTGTTTACACTAAAACAAAATGCCAGTGTCTGTCGTGTTGCAAAATGATCCCACAAATGCAAGCGATTATCTGTAATTTGAATGTAATAGAAAATCACGTTCTTTAAAAGCCACAACATAGCAAAAATGAACAGTTCTTCTCTTGACTCATGTGGGGTTTTGTAAAAGTCAGTGATTCTCAACTGAGAACTTTCTTTTTCTTCCAGCTGACTGTGACTTGTGTGTTTATAATTGGGCAGCAAGAACATAAACAATATCCATGAATCAAAATAAAGTGTTTGTGGTGTTTCTCTGGAGCTTTTTACATGACACAGCCACTAAAAATGATCTGTGTGACACTTAAAGAATTCACAAAACCTATGTGGGGTCTACAAAAGCAATTTTTTTTGTCTCCACAGGTCACAAAGACTCTGTGACATGTGCAGTGTTCAGCCATGACTCCTCCATGGTGGCTACGGGTGACATGAGTGGCATGATTAAAGTCTGGAAAGTAGAAAGCAAGGAGGAGATCTGGTCCTTTGAAGTGGGAGATCTGGAGGTAAGAATGTGTGTTTGAGAGTGTAATCCAAAATGACTGCAACAGTTTGAGCGTGTGTCTGTGTGTCTGTTTAGTTTGTGCATCTGTAAGCACTTGTGTGAAGTCTTTTATTGGGGCTGAAGGAATTTATGAGGAAAAAAGAGAGGGTGACTGCTCAGGCTGAGAATTTGTGGTCTTTTGGTGGAAATGAATGATCAGACATTCACCCCTTCCTCATCCGCGGCTGCTGAGTTGCCCTTTAGCAAGGCCCACAACCCATCATAATTATAAAACCAGCTCATTGGCCAGCAGTAGAAAATTGTAGTGGAAATCGGAGGGAAGTAATTTGTGTGTGTAGAGTGGCTGTTAATTCGTGGTTGTCTGCCCTGCTTCCTCCTCAGTGGTTGGAGTGGCATCCGTGCGCTCCGGTGCTGCTGGCGGGGACTGACGACGGCAACATGTGGATGTGGAAGATCCCTTCAGGAGACTGTAAAACCTTCCAGAGCTCCGCATGCCAGGCCACCAGTGGCAAAGTCCTCCCCGATGGTGAGAGATGGGAAAACAAGACACAAAGTCCTGAAAAGTCTTGCCGTTTAAATTGAGCTCATTTTACTGAAGTGAAACGTGTAGTTATGTATTTATTTATTTATTTATTTTTCTGCAGGTAAGCGGGCTGTGGTGGGTTATGAGGATGGAACAGTACGTGTGTGGGATTTGAAGCAGGGAAACGCCATCCACATCGTTAAAGGTGAGCCTTTCAGCTCTCAAATGTAGCTTCATCCTGTTGTTACCTTTTTATTTTACAGATTTCACAGTCCACATCAGATTTTCTGCTCTGCATTTGCTCATTAAGAATTATTACACTGAGGGTTTGTCTCGTTCAACAGGACAGGACGGACACCAGGGGGCGCTGACCTGCCTGTCGTGCAACAAGGACGGCTCTCTGGTGCTGACGGGTTCAGTGGACGGCTGTGCGAAGCTCATCAACACGGCCACAGGCAAGGTGGGTGTCACGACAACAGAATAAAAGATAGAGAAGAAAGTTTGTTGTTCTTTATCAGCTTCCAATGTGTGTGTTTTTAATTTCATGCGTGTGTTTAAAGGTGGTCGGATCATTCCCTGCGGACGGAGGCAAAGCCAAAGGATCTGAAGACGGAGAAGAATCCAACTCTGTCGAATCTGTGGGATTCTGCAACATGTGAGTTATAAATGTTTGTCACCACCAGCTACATAAAGTAATTAGCCATCACATGTTGACTGGAGATGAAGTAGACATTAAACTGCACCCAGCTGAATCCAGATGTCACGATTTCATAATTTAGAATCCATTAAAACAAAATGAATAAAAAACATTTGCTGTTTAATGGTTACAGCTTCTCAAATGTTTTGCTGCTAATTCCTGCCTGTAAATTGAATGCCTGACAAACTGTGCGATTTGTAGCCATGACTTTGAGCTTCGCATTTTCAAATCAGGTTAATTAAAACGGTAATCTAGATCACTGCTCTTGTCTGATTTACATCAGGAACATATTCCACTTCAGTCCTGAAGGCCAGGTGTGTGATATCGAAGCCTTATTTTAAATTGAGCATTTGTAATGCCTTTTCATCACAGTTTGAAGGATTAAAAAGGGCCATTAAGTCACTATAAAAGGGCTGAGTACTTGTTATAAATCACATTGAGAGGCGCTTTGGTTTGCAGTCCCCCTATTAAAGAAAATTAACTTCAATTAACATTAACTTAAACTACAAATATGAATGGTTACACATTCAGGAAACACTACACTGTAATAGAAAAGATGCTTGCGCTCAACAGTACAGTTTCACAGCTCTGCTGCAGTTTCCTAAATGTCTCTCTTGTCCTTTCCAGCCTGCCTCTCATAGCTGTGGCGTACCTGGACGGGACTCTGGCCATTTACGACCTCTCCACACAGGTCCTGAGGCACAGGTGCCAACATGAGGTAAGAAGCAGCAGAAAGAGGGGGGAAGTTTGTGTGTGTTTAGTTTAGTTTCCTACGCATACCAAGAAGGATTCTCACTTGTCCTAACACTGTGTACTGCACGGACGCTTTGCAGTCATATCACAGATCTCCTAGCAACCACTTGTGGCACCATCGGGGAGGTCCAGTTGAGTGGATGTTGCCTGTGTGCAGATTAAATACACAGAGACAATTAAGGAATACATTTTTGCAGTTTGCACAGTTGCACATTAAACCTGCAATAACAAATTGTGAACAGAACATTGACATATCATCACCATTTATGTCTTAGCAAACAGTTGCTTCAAGCACAACCAGCAGTCACAGGGCAACATTATCACTGATTTGGAGTTTTTTTGGTCACTTGATGAATTTAAGTCCAGTAGTCACTCTCTTTAGCTCTGTTTTTGGACTCTACCAACACCTGAGGGAAATATCTGTCTCTTTAGCTGCTAAATACTCCACAGTGGTTGGGACTGAGCAGAGAGTGTGCAGTGGGTTTTTAGAGCTTTCTTTGGCTGAAAATGACACTGAGAGATGTGACAGTGAATCAAAACAGTAAAACTGCAGCCAGACAGCTAGACAGTGAGCTCGCCATAAAGCCTTGAGGAGCTGTAGATTGAGGTGATTCTTTGTAGGATCATCACTAGCAGAGACCCCTTTCACATTGTCACGTTTTTATGAGATACATTGATATTATAAAATATGAATTCGAGCCACTTTAATAGACAGTTTGGCAAGCGTTTCCCTCAGTCCTTTTTGTCTAGCTGGGGACAAATCAAGCACAGACACCTTACTTTTCCTTGCTACCTTATCTGCTGGTTTGTTAGCAAAGCAACCAACATATAGTGTGACTTCTAGCCACTATTACCAGTCTCTACTCAATATGTGTTAGCTACATTGAAAACAGGATGTGTTTAAAAACAGGATAGTGATGATTAGCTTCCTAACCAGGGTTAAAATAGGTTTAGAGTTAGAAATGTCAACTGTTCACAGCTGTTGACACCTAAAAATCTCTGTCTGTGTTCATCCAGGCTGGCATCGTTCACCTGCAGTGGGAGGAGTCTTCTTCTGTGGTGTCCACTTGCTGCTTAGACGGAGCACTGCGTCTATGGGACGCTCGTTCCGGAAACATTGTGTCCGAGTACCGCGGCCACACTGCGGAGATCCTCGACTTCACCATCAACAGGTACCAGTTTGCTACAAAGCTCTATCTCTCCTGGTAGAGATCGTTCTTGGATGTAAATATACAGTTTATGTTCATTCTGTCTTTGTCTATCTCGTCTTCAGGGAAGCGTCTCTTGTAGTAACCGCGTCAGGAGACAACCAGGCGAAAGTCTTCTGCCTCCAAAGACCTGATCGGTAAAGAGAGCAGGAAGAGGAAGAGAGAGATGAAAAGAAGAGGAGAGGAAATATATTTCAGGAGAAATAGACTTTTCATGATCAGACTTTTTGTTCTCCAGTAATGGAGAACGTGTTTCCCTTCTCCTTTAGGATTTTAAAATGTCGTCTGGTCTCACCATCTTCTACGTCCTGAGTTTCACATCTGATTCTTTAAAACATCATTACTTTCTTCCAAGTGTGCTTTTGCTCAAGGACCTTAGAGACTAAACAAAGAAAAATTCAAAGAGTGATACATCACAGTCCTTTGCCTTTGACATCCCTTTTAATGTTCTCGCCAAAATGTTTTAGCCATAAAACAGAAAAGAGGAGTTTCCTTTGGTTAAGATTATAATTTTTTCCTTAATTGGAGTTTTTTGTTCCCTAAATAAGTGCTAGTTTACTTCTTGAGGGTGTGTGCATGTGGTCTTCCAGCTCTCAGACAGATTGTTCAGTCAGAAATTATCTCGCCAGTTTTTCTTGATGTAGACTCAAGTGTAAATACCAAATAATAAATAATATACTTTGTTCTGGGTAACTTTGAAAAATCATTTTCAGCTGAGGACTGTCATTTGTGACTAATGTCCGCCCCCCACCTCTTAAAACACATAAACCTCATCTGAGAAAATAGTTTATACTTGCGTCTGTTTTTTGTATGTGTGGTTACCAGTTTAGAGATAAAGCAGTGAAGTGGTCCTTTTGTGGGTCACTGTGACGTGGAGAGCTGAGGAAAATATGCAATCTACTGTAAATTTGTTCTGAATTTAAGTGGGCTCACTCATTGTTTATATTTTCATTTGATTCATTTTTAACTCAGATATGTTTTATTTATTTCATCAGACATGAGTAAAGGGAGGAGGTGAGTCAGTATGGATAGGACGGGACACTAAAGAAAGTAGATCTTCCCAAAAGCGTGTGATTAAAGATAGAAAATTGTAATTGTGAAAGTGGTGAGTACAGTCATAGTAGTTGGCCTTGATTTAGAAAAGTCCAAATTTAGTTATTTTAATATCATTTAATAGATCTGTTCATCTATTCTGCCCAAGGTACCAGCAGCTTTAAAATCAGATTTAAAGTAATTACTCCTGTTGAATTCCACCATAAAGTGGCAAAATGCAGTAAAATATAATAACATTTTAGATCTCTTTTTAAACTTAATTTTCCAACAGTATTATACATGATAATATAATGAGGTATTTTTTTAACTTGAGCAGTGGTATAAATGTATTTGTCTACAACTATGAAACCTCCTGTGGACGCCCATAAGTGGAGGCTGCTGTATGAACAGATCATGAATGACAATATAGTAAAACACAGTTGTTGTAATAATATATCTTCATAGAAGAAGTTACATTAATAAACACTTGTTGCAACTTTATTAAAGTGTTTTGTAAACTGTTTATGAAATGTTTGTGTACTGCTTATAAATGCCAAATAGGCGGAAATTAAAGTGTTTCTGTTACTATGAAGGTACAATTACAGACATTATGAACATGCTTTATAACTATTTTTATTGATTGCCTTAAACGTGTATTTAAATAGTTTTCCAATCAGGTCTAATGTTTTCTGGAAAGGGAAGGGAAAACACAGAATCCTCCTTATTAGTCTCATAAAAATGGTCCGACCTGTGTATATGAACTAAAACATGCACCCAGCTGATCTCCGCCGACTGTTGTGTGTATCCCTCTCCAGCAATTACGCTTTGTATAAAACAAGTGGATGTTGTTAACTGTGCAAAATAGGGCAATCATGACACTTTACTGCCCTTCCTACAACCAGGAAATACATTAACTCACCAGCCACTTTGTTGCTATGTGAATGCTTTAATACAGGCCAAGCTGCTGCTGGTCACATTAGTGTATTTGCTAACATATATATCTGTACGTGTTAAAGAATGAGAGCATGTTAAATGAAATGGTCACGACATTGTTGCACTTCATGGGTTGCTCCTGGTACGCAAAAGTTGGAAAAAAAACACCTCAGCTGTGACTCACTGCAGTCAGTATACGATATCTTGTATTAATGCATTATGACATTCAGGGGTGAGCAGTCAGTGCTTTGATTGGTTATCCAGGCCGTGATAAGTGGCTTAACAGAAAGGAAAACATTTTTCAAAGTCTTGTTTCAAGGCCAAAACCTGTCCTATTCCTTAAACTCTATTTTTAACTCTTATTCTGCCCTCTCGTCCTTTTCTCAGCTGTCAATCACAATGAGGAAAAACATCGGTGTCCTGTGCACAAGTACTTCTTCCTTGTACCTAGATTCTCATTGTGCATGTCCTAATGTGCACATGTGTACACGCATAACTCTCCCAGACAGACAGGAAGGCAGTAAAACTCTTGCACACACAAACATGTTTGTGCACTTCTTGCAGGCACTGTAAAAAAAAAACACATGGTTGAGTCTGGAAGTGTAAAGTCAGAAGATGAAGCACAGAGTACAAGAAAGATGTGTATTGTTGCACGGGATTCATACAGCTCAAGTAACACCTGTCAAGTGTGGCGTTCAGTGGCAGCAGGATCTTTTTCTCATCTGTCAAAGCAGTGTGTTTGGCCTCAAAGGTCAGCCTGTGTGAAGACAAAGGCGAGGAGTGGCCAGAAGGATTATCACCTTTAGACCTGGACAGGGCTGAAGCCTGATCCATTAAATCGCAGCTCATATTCTTGGAGGGCTGCTGTGCTGACAACAGATGCCGAACAAATCGGTTGAGCAGAGAGACACAGGTGCTGGTGCCAAGGTAAACATGTCTGGAGGAAGAGGAGGCAGGTGACAAACCCATTTAAAATACATCTGTTTCACAAAAACATGCAGCATTTGAGAAGAGATCAGGATACTTAAAATATTGTTTATATGGGATTCAGACAGTCCTATTAGTGATAAATTGTTAAAAATTGTCAATTTAAGTAAATAAAACTCAAATATCTGTGGAAACTGAAGAGATCTGAAATCTCAGAGCTCAATTTATCACCTACACTTCAGCTAAGTGTCCTGAACAAAATCAGTGTAGAAGCTAAAAGACGATGTCAGTGTAAGCAATTAAATTATTCCCAGTTAGTTAGAAGAGTTTAAGAAGTTTGTTGTTGTTAAAGGTGAAGATGTGACACCTGAAACTGCTAAAAGTGTCGGTTGAAGTGTGAACACTTACAAGATAAATATCAGTGGAATATCACACCCTCAGGGTTGGGAGAATTGCTTCAGAAATGTAATCTGTTACAATTACTAATTATTTGTTGAAAAATGGGTGTCACAGTATTAAAGGAATTTTACTTTCCCAACACCGAATATGCAAATAAAGACGAGAAAAGAAATATCAATAAGATGATGTATGTTCTATAACACAACAGAACAATGTAACCTTAGGAAATAAAATGGATTTTTAGCATCAACAATGTGTCCTCTCTTCAGTGTATCTTTAAATAAAGTAGCCTATAGACCATATTCACAGCTGGAAGGCAGAACCTCTGCTATAAAGACAAAATAATGGTGAACTTTCCACCCAGTCAGAGTCTGTTTGTCACTAGAGGCCGTGAATCCATTGGCAACTGTAAGATATCTATGGTTTATATATATATATATAATGTAGGTCCATGACTGAAACGTGTATTTACAAAAACAACATGTTGGTTGTTATTCAACATAATTCTTTCTCCAGTTCCAATGAAAACTGTTTGTACCTGACAAAATAGATGAAATATTTTTATTTTTTTATTTTAGATTTTAGATGAGTGTATTTTTAGATATATTTAATGTTATTTTCACATTTTGACAGCTAACTTGTGGCCTTTGGCTCACTGTCGGCCCTGTGTTGAATAAGCAGAACACTTCAATGTGTTCTAGAGCGAGGAAGGAGAGTCACCTTTTTTCTAACATCAGCTAGCTTGACTAAAAAGCTTTGATCTCCGTTGCCAGCCGAACTCTGCAGAAGACTGAATGCACCTTTAATGAATCATATCACATTCCACTTTTCCACTGTGTATAAATAAAAAAAAAGAAAAGAAGATCATATCGTTGATGTTCTGCTAAGTGGGACCTGTTATTCCAGGAAAGCCAAGATGCTCCATCTCCTCCTTTGTAATCTGAAGATGTTGTGGTTTCACGTCCAGCTTGTCCTCCCTGGGTAGTGTCTTCCCAGATGCTCTCAGGCTCAGGAACGTTTCTGTTTAAAAACCATTATCTGACTGGAGCTCATCCATCTCCACCAGCACCAGGTCTGCTCCAGACTATCAGCGAAGGAGTCTTCCGTGTTTGGCCAACAAAACAGGTCACCACCGGCCTTCCATCCAACGCAGTGTTTAAATATGAGACGTGTGTGACAGCTGTTATGAATTGTGACGTACACACTGTTGTATGCATATGTTTAGGTCAGTCCCGGGCCAAATAAAAGGAGCAAATATATCTTGGCATTTGTTTTAACCTACGCAGTGTACAGTATGGCTGTATCAGACACGCTGTATCAGATTAAATAGCCTTCTAAAATCACTTTTAACACCTTAATGTTGAAGTAAAGTGATGTTATTTTTTCACAAGTTGAATTTAAACAAATAGACATTTCTAATTTTTTTTTTAAATGTATACCCTCCACTTCCTCAAAACTATAGACCTATCGCAAACTTCCATTCCTGTCCACGCTTCTAAATAACATAGTTTCCGTAAAGCTTTTAAATATTTGGGAAAACAATATTATTTTTCACCTGAGAATGCTAAAAAGTATTTGCAAACTTCTTGGAGGACTGAGAGACATTCATGCTGTGTGTTGTTCACACCTCTTTCTTGGCTTGTAAATGTGTAACAAAGGAAAAAATACATAAAGTTGGATGTTTTTTCCACTTCATACGTCTTTGATACATGTTGCAGAAGCTGTCTCGGAGAGTCTGGGGGCCATCATGGAAGGTGTGAAACCAAAACCACATGCCAGACCTACTGATGTTACCCAGGAATGTTCTTATCATTTTCAGGCTGCAGTGATAACAGCTTCCCATCCTCTCCCATTCATGGATGCACACTGCAGTCCTAACAGTAGTGACTAAAAGGGGGAAAATGGATGAAAGAGAGTATGAAGAGGAAGAGGAAAAAGTTAGTAGGTGAAGGGTTAGTGGACACTGCTTCCTCATCTTCAGCGTGACAGGCAACCCACCCTCAGGAAAAAGACAGATAAAAGAACAACCACTGTCACCTCCTCCTTTCTTCTCCTTCAGTGTGCACTTCCCCTTTAAAGTATCTGAGAGGAACAGCCTCACTCTTCTGCCCGCTTCGTCTCTCTTCTGGTTTGTAGGGAGGATTTGAGAGGCTGCTGTGGCTGACTTGACTGAGAAAGGATCCTGAAGGATAAAGAAGAAGCTCCTGAAGGATAAAGAAGAAGCTCCTGAAGGATAAAGAAGAAGCTCCTAATGTTTATGGTGGAGGCTGCACCTTCTACTTGTGGATATGACATGCAGGGGAACAGGCTTGAAGATATCAGGAGAGTGACAGGAAGCAAAAGGATTTCTTTTGTCAAAGGGTACATGACTGGATTGTTCAGCCCAAGGTAAAACTCTTATTCTTATTATAAAAGTTCATATTTTGCAAGATTTCATTATGTATTTCTGGTGTTCTGTTTTAGGTCATCAGTTTTTACATTACAGGACTGCAGG